ATGTGTGCACAGGGTTCCGCCGTTAAATTTAAACGTACAGAAAAATCGATAAATGCGCTGAGTGTGTTCTGATTCTTGGCGTCAGCCATGACCATCTGGCCTTGTGGTGTTGGCATAAGATGATGTAGTGACCAAGGCAAATGGCCGTACGGAGATCAGAGGGGACACTACATCATCTTATGTCAAAATCGCAAGGCCAGATGGTCATGGCTGACGCGAAGAATCAGAACACACTCAGCGCATTTATCGATTTTTCTGTACGTTTAAATTTTACGGCGGAACCTTGTGCACACACAAACTGTTTCTGTTACTGTTCGGTTAGTATGTCCCTGAAAATGAATCCGCGACGGATTTCGAAATATCAGGCAAATGAACTTAGTGTCCCAGCGATCGAGTTGTCTTCTACTTGGCAATTAAGGCATTGCCGTTTCCTGCATTTTGATGGATATGTGAGAAGTCTTGTCCACAATAAGTCGAACAGCATGACAATATACATAAATGCGAACCTTCAGTAGCGCAACTTGACGTTCTTTTTCTGAATATTCGGGAGTTGGGGGGGGGTTCTTACTTATCATGCGAGGAAGAGGGTGAGTGAATAATCCCTGGCTGGAGGTTACACATTTTGCAAAACATGTATAATCACTCGCTAATCGTCACTGGGTAAGATGGTTATACTGATCATCGTGTAGCCTACTCGCAAGTCTTATCAGGGAGTTTCTTCTGACCGCTTAAAAAACGGATTTACTGTAAAAAGTGTCATCTTTAGAAGCATATTTTTTTTTCGTTGAGTTTGACTGCCCTTATAAATTCATACATATTTTATGGAGAACATACAGGAACAAGCTCACTGCAACAGTTTGCTTCAGCGGTAGAAACTAAAATGCAAAGACATACTTTTTCTCACCGCAGCATGATACTTACTGAATTACGTTCACTTAATGACACACTGATTGATTGTTTCTTTGGCTAAGGGTTCGCGTAAAATCTCTGCAATTGAATTGAGATAGCAGAGTACACAAAAAGTGTGCTAGCCTGTTGCAAAATATTGCGCAACTTATGACTCAGCCTACACATGTGTAGCAATGCCGACAGACGCCACTTGCTGTGAGTCACAATTTCTCCGGAGTGGATCTTAATGAATTAGTTTCGAAAGCCGTATTTTTGCAGAATGCTAGCTATTAATGAAGCCCAAATGCCGCATTTCGTAAAACGTCTATTCCACGGTTTCTAGGTGCCTTATACATATATTTTTCTTGCCTTTATGGATAAGATCGAGAGAACGAGTCTAACAGACACCAGGAAGGGCCTTGCAGTTTACGGTGTCCGACAGACTACAACACTGACACTGACGCCATAGTTACGAACTTTAAAAGCGTGTATCCAACGCTCACGTTTTCTGCAGGGACTGAGTTTGATAGTGCAATTGCTTTCCTTGACGTACTTCTGTTAAGGTAAAATTATGGATCGATTCTGCGTAGACTATTCCGAAAGGAAAGCCGGACGGGACGATTCACCAACTTTCCCAGTTTTCTTTCCACAAAAATAAAGCGATATCCAGTCCAGGGATTAGCAACTAGACTATGAGGGAACCCAGAAATATTTATGCTAAGGAATGTAGGTGAATGCGCCAAAAAATAATGCTAACTTAAGCGCAAAAAAGGAAGACGTTTTCATAAGACAGCTTCTGTTAGGCAATACTTACTTGTACTTGTACTTGTAACGGCATTCACCTCGGGCAGCTTGGGCCAGCATCATTTTTGACGTTGACTGCATCACGAATCACAGCTCTCCAGGCGCGTCGATCTTGCGCCTGCTAACACGAGAGCACCATCCATTCACCGTTCCACTGGCGTAGGCCGTAGACGCATGGGCCGGAAACGGACGACAGATACTGCTTGACGGTTGCTGTCCAAGTTTTCAGCTGCCCGCCGCGACGTTTGTGC